TATATAGTTTCACTTTTCACTGTTGTGTTATTTCTGGTCATAAGTGAACGTACAAACAAAAGGATTTTCGTTTACTAATAAAATTTGATACTTTGTTCAATTACAAAATTACTAATGCCAATTATCATGACTTAGAATAATGTGATGTACATAGCAGTTGTTTTGCAGTGAAGCATATAATACATTAAATACTTTTTCACGTGATACTTGTGTTATCTTTTTAATATAATTTATAAAAACATAGATTTTCGTCTTCGAGTTATATCGGCATCAAATTATTATTATATTTCAAAACTTAACTCAATTCTGGAAAGAAATGTGTTTCTAAAGGATATTATTTGGTTTATTTGTGAAATGGACGAGAGATGTATATTACGGTATTGATCTTATTCGATTATTGTTCAAATGCGAACAAGAACATTATTATAAAATTTTAAACGTAACTGCGTGACTTTTACTCTATTGCAGGGACATGATATAAATAATATATTTGTTGTATGTGGTCACAGTTACCTTTTCAGACACCCTCTATGATTGGACATGACTTAGCAGTTAGCGAGTTGGACTGTGGATCAGAGGCCCCAAGGTTTGAACCAGTATATGGCGTTGAATACGCTCCGCATTTTCAATTGATGGCGCTTTTTAAAAGTAACAATCAGTCACAGTATTCAGCTAAGAATGCCCATGTAAGCAACGAGTGTTACTGACTAGTTGTTCTCCCTCTGGTCAGCAATTTTAAATAAAGGATGGGTATGCCTGAACTTTGAGATCTTTGACCCGGTCGTTTAGCCTTTATGTCCAATGTGGCGTCGTTTCAGGTTAAATATATCAAATATCATGTGTAAAATATTTTAACTCCGTAGTATATGTAATTTTGAAATGGAAAATTACTCCAATAACACAAAACTATAACAGTAACTCTTAAAAACATTAATTTGAGGTAATTTTCCTTAATGTCAGAATAAATCAATTCCAGTTTACAAATTCTAATAAATCAATTCACTTTAGTTAACGACTCATAAGTTCATTCATTAAACAGTTTGAAAACAAGACTCATATTTAAAGTTTAAATAATTAGCATAAGTAGTGGAAATTGAATTGAAGGAGGGGGGGGAGCCCGTGATTGGGGGCACTTTATTTGCTATGTTAATCGTGACCACTGAATTCAAAACTGAAACAGCGGCTTTCTATAATACTTATACACAAGTCTTTATTTCCCAGTCAAAATGGTACTTCGCTACCTCATCAAATTGGAGAGGGGGGGGGGGGCACGTGCCCCGGTTCCGCTGCCTATGATAATTAGTGTATAATCATGTTCAGTGAAGTTAAGATCTTGTCAGCAAGATGCGTATTTATACTGCAGGTATCGATTATTATGGGATATTTTATTATATAACTAAAAAAATCAAACCTTAAAAACTGTACTTATTATACGGATTGACAAGCATATCAAACATGCGGTGCTTTTTATGTTAGCGTTTGGGAACTTTTCGCAAGCTTTCGTCGGCAGGCAGTCAGAAAAACCTGTCTGAGTCTAAGCCTTCACGCACGACAGAGACCCTGGACTATCTGTAAACGTGTAATGTTCCATAACGATTATGAGGAGTTATAAAAAAAATTCAGATCTTTTTTAATGTTTAGACTATTTCTTAATCTAACCCTAACGTTCGAGACAGTATGCATACATAACTTGCACATAAAGTATTTTTCTAATAAACAAAAATCACATGGAAAAACTTACATTCGTCTGTTCAACATTTCCGTGTAAACTAATTTAGTAATAATAAAAAAGTCCCTTACAAATGATCAGAGGTCTTATACAGAACTTGTTGGAGACGAACATACAAATTTCAAGCAAGTTGTGAATAGCTTCCTAGGTGTTACTCTGAGTGAAAAGTAGCTACTCCTATACGCATACTTCCTTAATCTCTGTTTGACTTCCTGCTTATCATAAGTCATTAAAATGGAAGCTCTAGTTATACGTGGATCTAAGGTATTCTTTATCAGAGTAAATCTTCTATATGTATTGCTTTCATGACTTTGAAATTTGATCTGTAAAACAATGACCGAAAGTTGCATAGCTTAGTTAAATTATAATTACTAAGAATGCTACTAGATGGCGCAATGATAAGCCAAACGTTTGTCAAAATGTTAAACGTTGATACAACGCATTATTTATTTTGTATTTGATACAATGATTTTATTGTAAAAAAAAATCACTTGTTCACACCACCGAAACAGATATGAAAATCTATATGATCTTATATCTCTTACTTTGCTCATGAAACTTTTATTATGAAATTATTTGAAGACAAAAGTTATAATACATTGTATGTAACAAAAACGTTTTTTCGTTGTTTTTTTTAATTGATTGATGTACCAGTTGACTGTAATTTACGTTCGTTTAGTTTTATACACATATAAACCGTGTAACAAAGATACTTAATCCGTTTCTTTTAGAATTCGTTAAGTTAAGTTGTTATGAAATGTTATATTTCGTCCACATAAACAGCACTCTCTGTCACGTGAAACATTACTTATGAAACAAAACTAACAAGCACAGTTACATTACACGAGTTGCCGCGAGAGTTCTAGAAACAGATATTCCATGAATTATATATTTTTCTGCTGATTTCAAAATTATTCGAAGGTTTACTCTGTAAAATGACTGAGACATATTAGAATCAAGTTTCGTTTAATAACTGTTAAAAAGTAGCGAAGAAAATCCCACACTTTAAATTCTATACAAGGACGCAACATATACAAGTATCGAATCTATTGTGTAATAGAAATAACAGTTAGATAAATCAGCCACTCCAATGACCAATATTCATCTATTTTTCAGATATTTTTATGCATTCAATTTCGAAACGTTTTACATGACCAATCAAAAATTATAAAACAAAATAAAAATGTTAAACCAAGACAATGAACTATGATTAAAGCATAGAAGAGAATACCAGTTGCGCTAAGGATTAAATCGAGGCATTTATAAACAGCTTTAGTAAAACATCCGATTGTAGTAAATCTATTGTTAACAGAGCGTTTCGAATATGAATAACACAGCGATATGATGATATGGTAAAATTACAATTGATCTTTCATTTAAAACAAAAACAAAAAAAAACGACATAACACTCCCATAGATTTTTTTTTACAGTTTTACCTGTACGAATGTTTTCTTTACAGCTTTAAATTTATAAAAAAAAATGAGGGTTTATAAGTCTTTGAGGATTTTTTTTCTTTATGTGATTATGATGTCATATATATATATAGATATGTATATATAGAAATGTATATACATATTTATTATTTATTTTTTTAATTCAGACTATTTCCTCGTTTAAATCGTAAGCCTAAATAAAATATATTACACACTTCAAAACTGGCAGAACACGTGAAGTTCTTAAACAGAAACTCATTACTTGATACGATCTGTCTTTATTTTAATGTACAGAATAACAAACCACTGATATATTCCTGATATTATAGCTAGCAATCGGAAACAAAAATGTCTTCTTTAAACGACTCTAACCATAAAAGATTAGAATCCAGAAAACTGTAACCTGCAGAGCAAATAGCAATTGACTGTTATATTTACCTGCATTGGTGTCTGGTATTATCAAACGTTTAAGATAAAGGCGTTGGACTTCAAAATAGCAAAGAAGGATATGTTTCGAGACAAATCTTTATCATCTTAATTTCTAACAACCGGCAGATAGTACTTATATTAATATACGTTCATTATTACACACAAAAGCAACAAAGTCTTAGGAAATACGTCATCATGGTTGCAGTATCTATTTCTGATGTTCATAATAAAAGACTAAAATGCTGCCAAAAATACATATCGAATCACCAAACACAAACAGACAAGTCAATCAGTAGGTTAGTTATAAACTTAAGGAAAGGTTGTGCAAGTTCCATATTACAGTAAAAATTGGAGCCTATATATATATATACATATAAACTATTTAAAATCCACTGTTAGTAAAAAATATATATAGTGGATGTGCAAGTGTTTGTAAAATATTTAGTAAGTTACTTTAGCCCCCCAGTGGCACAGCGGTATATCTGCGGATTTACAACGCTAGAATCCGGGTTTCGATACCCGTGGTGGGCAGAGCACAGATAGCCCCTTGTGTAGCTTTGTGCTTAACTACAAACAAACAAAGTTACTTTAAATTTATGATCTGCTCATTTTCCTCTAAAGTATACAACTTACTTAGAGAAATTTGTTTCATTTTTAAAGGTAAATATTATACTTATTTCTGGTTGAGAGTCAAAATGAAAAGAAAGATCTATTTATTAATAAAACAGCAAACGTTTTAATTTTAATTGTTTTTGTTTTGTTTTCCTAAAATGTTAAATAAGAGAAATCTGACAATTTTTCCAATAATACTTCCATGATAAAAGTAAAGATTTTCAATATACACCCAGATATATTGTGTTTGGTATATCATGAACATTTTTTGGCTTTTTGACTGATATTTTCAACATTTAAATTCTGGTATGCATGTGTTTTTTTTTATAGAAGTTTAATATAATAGAAGAGACTGTAGTATTTGTAAACTTCAACCACAACATTTTGAAACAGACAAGAAACAAAAGATATTTTCATATATATATATATAATATTTCATTGAATTGTTCTCCAGACAAAGTTCACAGTAATCCTCTTTACACAGAAACTGGGTAAAAATGCAACATTTCAACATTCCCAGAATCAAGATGTTGCTTGATAACATTGTAGAGATAAAGCTTTTTGTTTGTTGGAACTGATTCGTTCCTCCAAGTCAACTCCAAAGGTCCTTGTAATACATATTTAATGTTTTGAGAAACTACCGGGTCAGTGTAAACTATATTAATGCAGATACTTCTCTAGAAGCTGGTCTGGCCAACATCTGCCCCTTGAGGGCCTCTTGTGCGTGCGTTATTAGTCATTAATAGTCAATCAGCAAGTGTCATAGATCTTCATGAAGATCATGAAGTGAGGATACTCTCGATCCAAGGTTTATAAGCAGTCGTTTTCATATAGACACCAGGTAGGTTTGGATCTGCACACTTAATACCGTGAGAAACTGTTCCAACAAGAACCCAACGACCATCATCTCTCTGCACCATCAGTGGTCCTCCAGAGTCACCCTAAATGTAAAAGTAAGCATAGGAAATTGAATTATAACTTTTGTTTCATTGATATGATTTTTTCCCAAATATGTTATTAGTTGTGTATATTATTCTTAACAGAGACACTATTCGAAATTTTGTACCTCATATAAAGTATTCTAAGTAAAAAAAATACAATTCAAATGCAATCTTTTAATGAATAAAACCTTATTAAGCCATGCCTATTAAAGTATTATATAAAAAACAAACAGATTTTGTAGTTCAAAGAGATGATTGAGATAGCAATGAAATAGTACATGTAGTAGTAACGTTTCTTCAGTTCAATACGTTGGAACTGCTATATAATAAAACATTAGAAGGACAAGTGTTATGCTTGAACAGCACTTACTTCGCAAGAATCTTGGCCACCAGTCTCGTATCCAGCACAGATGAAGTTGTCTCTTATTGCTTTAATATGGCCAGCTTTAAGGAACATTTGTTGGCATTTACTGTTTCTCACTATGGGTACTTTCACGTACTGCAAAACTTCGGGAACAGGGCCACCTAGCGAGAAAAATTATGTTGATGCACGGTAATAAAAATTATTACGGAAGCACACAAGCGATATACATACACAAGTCACAGGTAACGAATAATGATAACTAGATGGTGAATTTACTTAATGGTACAAAACATTATCGCAGAAGATAATTGAAGAAAAAGAGAATATATTGTACAATGCAAGTCAGTTGCTTTATCCAAAACATTACATACTGTTTTAATGTTGCCATACAGTTTATCAATGTGCGCTTAAGGACTTTTGTTCCAAATGTCCTGTATTATTTCCCACTATTCAACAATGGTCGCTTTTTTGAACTTTTCGGTTTTTATGTAAGTCTATAAAGCCTCAAAAAACGTTATGTCGAGACTTTGTGCAGACCAAACCATGGTTTTAGCTGTTCCATTAGTCTTTTACATCAATATATCTTTCAACCTATCTGTTATACGCTTGGATCATTTGATTGCTAGAAAATTAATAGTCGCCCGATGAATCATATTTTTGAGGAAATAATATGATGAATCAGAACCTACGTGTACTTCTCAGCAGTTATGGTGCCATCAGCTTCGTGTAGATCATCAATATACCTGGCTGAAATGCAATCCCAAACTTGTGTTACTTCAAAGTATATGTTATTCATTGACTGTAATACCACTGTCTTCTACGTTGTCGAACAAACTGTCTTATACTGTTAACAAACAATACCAAATTGGATTGACCTGTTGGAGAGTTTCAGTTTTTTACTTCTATTATTAACACCACTGTTGGAGAGGTTTCAGTTTTTACTTCTATTATTAGCATCACTGTTAGAGAGTTTCAGTTTTTTACTTCTATTATTAACATCACTGTTGGAGAGTTTCAGTTTTTTACTTCTATTATTAGCATCACTGTTCGAGAGTTTCAGTTTTTTACTTCTATTATTAACATCACTGTTGGAGAGTTTCAGTTTTTTACTTCTATTATTAACATCACTGTTGGAGAGTTTCAGTTTTTACTTCTAATATTAACATCACTGTTGGAGAGTTTCAGTTTTTTACTTCTATTATTAACATCACTGTTGGAGAGTTTCGATGTTCTGCTTCTATTATTAACATCACTGTTGGAGAGTTTCGATGTTCTGCTTCTATCATTAACAATTCTACTGAAACATGGAACCTTACTCAACATCTGTTATATGCAGCATCCGTGCCCAACCAAAACTTTTATTTTTACACGCTTGTCATGCTGTATATCTGTCCTTGGAACCATGGCTGGTACCATACCACTACTTCTAGCTTCGAGGAACATTTGCTGACATTTACAGTTACGCTGGTCTGTCATTTCCTGATGAGTTGAATGACAACCAATCACAGTGTAAATTATCAATATGTGACTGTACTCTGGTTCAGTTCACTCTTAACGATAAAGTGGTTAAATTCCCAGATTATTTGTGTTTTATACTGAAAGCTTAAGAACCAATCTGATATTTCTGGTCAATTGTTTTATAAAACAATTAAACCAAATCAGATTTATATGGAAATCATTAGAGAGGAAAATAATACCCTGATTTTTGTTTGTTTATTTGTTTTTCTGTTTGATTTTCATAAATGTTTTATACAATTCCTTTTGTAAAACACAAACTAATGCTTACCATGGAAAAGTTTTCCCCAACCGGACACAAAAGCGGTTTTTCCAGTGAAGTCTTCTTCATTTTCTGGGAGACAGATAGGTACAATGTGAGGTTGGAATTGGACTGGAGTCTCCAGCTCCAACAACGCCAAATCATTTTCAAAAGACTGAGCGTTGTAGTTTCTATGAACAATCATTCTCTTTACGTTCTTCACCACCGGTTTCAAAGATTCCAAATCCCCACCTACGTCATGTTCTCCAAGCACGACCAGCAGGGATGCCAGAAACCTACAAAATACGTTGTATTTTAATATAAAATAATAGTTTTAAATAATGTTTGTTTTGAATTTCGCGCAAAGCTACACGAGGGCTATCTGCGCTAGCCGTCCCTAATTTAGCAGTGTAAGACTAGAGGGAAGGCAGCTAGTCATCACCACCCACCGCCAGCTCTTGGGCTACTCTTTTACCAACGAATAGTGAGATTGACCGTCACATTATAACGCCCCCACGGCTGAAAGGGCGAGCATGTTTGGTGTGACGGGGATTCGAACCTGCGGCCCTCAGATTGCGAGTCGAGTGCCCTAACCACCTGGCCATGCCGGGCCCCCGTTTTAAATAAGATAGATAAATACAAAAAATACAGTTATCTGCAATGATTAATAACTCTTAATTAATTAAGAAAATTAATAATCGTTAACATAGTAAATGACAGTTTCTGCACCTGCTATTGACAAATATATATTTATGAATTATTCAAATTATGCTACACATAATACAGAACAATAATAAAATTAGCATTGTAGACACGTTGTCAAAATATAAAAATTCCACGCTTTTATTTTACAATTGGAAAATAATATTCCCAACAGGATAAATATTTAACGATATAAAAATTTGTTTGTAGTTAAGCACAAAGCTACACGGCTATCTGTGCCGACCAGAAGTATTGAAACCCAGTATTTTAGCGTTATAAGTTCGCAAACTTGCCACAGTGCCACTGGGGGTGGGGGTGACGATATAAAAAAATATTCTAACAGGATGTGCACTTAGTTTTCAAATCTGTATTAAAAACTTATAACATATTCTGAATTATCTCTCCTTTTCAGTTTCAAAATGTATTATAATAGGCATACATCTAAAGTGTGCAATTAATACTCATATATCATGCATATTTAACGTTCGAGTGTGTTTGTGTGTGTTTGTTTTCTTATAGCAAAGCCACATCGGGTTATCTGCTATTTCCACCGAGGGGAATCGAACCCCTGATATTAGCGTTGTAAATCCGTAGACTTACCACTGTCCCAGTGGTGGACATTTAACGTTCCTACAAATTAGACAATAATAGATAAATAGTAATAAATAATACAAAACTAAATACAATGCAGATTTAGAAAATATAATTTTAAGTTAGTTGCGCTGTTGATGTTGTGGACTATCTGCGTTCTGTCCATCGCGGGGAATCGAACCCCAGATTTTAGCATTGTAAGTCCGTAAAATTACTGTTGACTCACCGGGTGACGTTAATTGTGCAACTACAGTTAGAGAATAAATTTTAACAAATTGCACACTTGCCGAGTTAATTTAAACATTTTGCTAAATCTGAAGTAGGGAAAACGAATATAGTAAGAGATATTATTTTCAACATTTTGTTCATCTACAGTTTTAAAAGAAATATCCTAAACGTTCTTATGCAGAGTTTGAAAAAGAAAGATTTGTTGCACTGTAGCATGTCATATTGTTATATTTATCAAATATTATTTGAATTATGTATTCCAAATTTCAAACACCACGCAGAAATTATTTTTATGTGATTCGGTACATACTGACGTATTTACTAATTAAATTTCGATTTTTTTCTATAATAGAAGAATAAATTTTGTTTGTTTTTTTAATTTCGCGCAAAGCTACACTAGGGTTATCTGCGCTAGCCGTCCCTAATTTAGCAATGTAAGACTAGAGGGAAGGTAGTTAGTCATCACCATCCACCTCCAACTATTGGACTACGCTTTTACCAACGAATAGTGGGATTGACCGTCACATTATAACGCCCCCACGGCTGAAAGGGCGAGCATGTTTGGTGTGACGGGGATTCGAACCCGTGACCCGCAGATTGCGAGTCGAGCTCCCTAACCACCTGGCCATGTCGGGCCGCAGAAGAATAAGACAAATCTAATCGAGAATGTACCCAAGTGATAAAACAATGAATTCTAACATTTATAAGTAAGAACGTAAGAAACGTATATTTAATTAGTTATACTCTTTATCGGGTTGATTTTTAGTTTTGCTCTAAGTAGGTAGTTTGCTCTGGTCGGAAATTAGTATCAATAAATTCTAGAAGAAATAAAGTTGGATATTATTATTTTCAAATATAATTTTGGCTATCGTAATCATGGCCAGGTGGTTAGGGCGCTCGACTCGTAATCTGTGGGTCGCGGGTTCGAATCCCCGTCTCACCAAACATGCTCGCCCTTTCGGCCGTGGGGGCGTTATAATGTGACGGTCAATCCCACTATTCGATGGTAAAACAGTAGCCCAAGAGTTGGCGGTGGATGGTGATGACTAGCTGCCTTCCCTCTAGTCTTACACTGCTAAATTAGGGGCGGCTAGCGCAGATAGCCCTCGTGTAGCTTTGCGCGAAATCCGTAACAAACAAGCAAACAATCTATCGTAATCCAGCCCAGCTGATGCCTACGGAATAAAGATTTGTAGCAGACAATAAGAAGGACCTCAAATGTATGCTATTCATTTCTGATTCGAAAGTCAAAAAGAATTAATCAAGCAAAATGTCAAGCGACATTTTGAGCAATATTGTAAATTGAGAAAGATAATTATAGTGAATTAGCGTTGAAATAAAAAACCGTTGAAACTTTTATACAAATGTTAGTCCAAATAGAAAGTTTGTGTTTAGCCTTCATAAATTAGCATTTTGTCATCATTGAGTTATAACTATTAAAACAAGCAAAATTAAAATATAATATTTTGATATTGTAATTTCAAATAAAAGCAAACATTGGGTTTCAAATTTATATTGGTTTTAGGTGTAAAAAGTGAAATGTGAAAAACTTAAATAATTATGTTTATTTTTTAGGTTTATATCGTATTACGAATTACATAATTTAAATGTTTGACTTTAGCGTTATATTAAGTTTGAGTCCTAAATAATATTGTTAAACTTATTCTAACTTAATCTTTATATTAGTCATTCTGCTTAATGAACAGATCTTAAAAGTACTTGAAGTCTTGTTGTTTCCAATAAACTCCGGTTACATATACAGATATTCTTACCCTGGTTGACAGTGAGCAGCTGTTATCACGTATTTAGAATTTAGCAACACCCCTCCACACTTATTCTTCTGGAACAGTCCCAACCACGTTGCTTCCTTTACCAAAACCTACAGAAACAAAAACCCATAAAAATAACCTAAGATGACCAGCAAACAAACTCCCAAAAATATCAATAAAACTTCACAATATTACAGCTTACACGAATCATCAATCCTACAGTGTGTTAGCTATATTGTAAGAGTACAATTTTATAAAATGTAAGTTTAGAAAGCTGATAATATCGTCGTAACATTGTCTGAAAAATGCAACCTCTTTCACAAAAATCTATAAACTGCTCTAAGTTGCCGCATTATTTGTTTTTGAATTTCGCGCAAAGCTACACGAGGGCTATCTTCGCTAGCCGTCCATAATTTAGCAGTGTAAGACTAGAGGGAAGGCAGCTAATCATCACCACCCACCGCCAACTCTTGGGCTACCCTTTTACCAACGAATAGTGGGATTGACTGTCACATTATAACGCCCCCACGGCTGAAAGGCCGAGCATGTTTGGTGGGGCGGGGATTCGAACCCGCGACCCTCAGATTGTGAGTCGAGCGCCTTAACCACCTGGCCATGCCGGGCCTAGTTTATACGAACGACACCGTGCAAATTCGAAAAAAAAAAAAAACCGGGGGCTCTCATATTGTTATCTCTGTTCAGCATAATACCATTTCAGATATATTACAAATGGTTTGGTGTCGGCAATATTGCCAAATATTTATCTATCTACTATTATATAATTTAAAATAAAGAAATTTAAAAACTTTATTTACTAAAACCTCACTGACATTGTTAAATTTGCTTGTTTTACAGCAAAGCCAGATTAGACTATCTGGTGTGTCCACCGAGGGGAATCGAACCGCGGATTTTAGCGTTGTAAGTCCTTACACTTACCGTTATCCTACCGGCGTACAAAATATTAAGGTAAATAAAAAATGATACTATTTCCATTGGAAATTTGAAAGATTTTTGCTGAGAGTTTAAGCACATAATCAAGCGTTAATCTAAACGTGACTAATTTATTTTTGGTAAACATCAAACCAAAGACCATGAAATGGCTTGAACTAAGTGTTAATTGGCGATTTCAGTGTAATAGGATGCGATTCATATGTCGACTTTATTTCTTAACTGTGTTTGCTATCTTTATACGGGAAAGTCGTTCAGAAAAGTTATATTCTCTCTTTCTTTATATGCAATTATTTATTGTGAATCAGCACATTAAAGTTTAACTTATTGACTGTTTTGGTAGTTCATAGAGGTGTTTGGAAGTAACACATGTAAAATGTTTTGTTTTGAAAAGCTAATGTAGTAGTGAAGTGGCCATTGTACTTTTTTATACACATGCATGAACAGACTTTCCAAATAAAATGCGCAAGATTTCCACCTATCTTCGTGTTTTGATACTTCTAAATAAACTAAAAACAACAACTAAATGCCCCCAGGTGGTACGTATACGGACTTACAACGCTAGAAACCGGGTTTCGATACCCATGGTTGGCAGAGCACAGATAGCCCATTGTGTAGCTTTGTGCTTAACTTTAAACAACTAAAATCTAATCTAAAAAAAAAAACTTTTTGTGGCGCAACAATCCTTAAGAACATCAAAATCCTGATGTTACATTGGAAAGAGTAAGTCATGCTAAAGAAAGCTATGCTAAATACTCTTCTGATTTCTCGAGTATACAACTAAATCATTAAATCAAGTATCGTTGAAACTTTCTAAGAGTTTCTCCAAATATTTATGCAACGTATTTAGGCGTACATATATCATCGCCAAAGGCCTCAGTTATGACGGACTATTTGTTTTGCCTTGGTTCTTCAATTTGTAATAAAAATCTACCCGATATTATTATTTTACCAGAAGAGCAAATTTGTGCTTTATCAAAACGTATTAAATGTTACTGGTGCTGAAAAAAGTCACATATTATGTTACCGTATCTGGCGGCAAAATCTCAATATTTGTTTTTTGATGGTTGGTGTGTTCAGTTCCGAAAATATAAACTAATAGCTTGAATATGAAGAAGATTAGAATTGTTATTTTAGGAAATTACAATATTAAACTGGTCATTATATTTCTGGCTTTAGAAATTTTCATTCTAAATGAAGAGTATTTTCTTATCCCATTTGATATTCAAAGTAAATGTTTTTGCAATCACGTGAAAATATCTAAAATCAAATATCAATCATTATAAATAAAACTGTTTTTTTTACAACCGAAGTATTACGATTCAAATCATTGTTAGAATATTTAACGATTTTTTAAACACAACTAAAATTATGTCCAACGGTGATATATTTTAAAATAGATGCATTTTTCACACAAGATTAGTAAATTATTGAATTTTGTATAAAGGTTTTAAATAAATATACTAAAACTGGTAATTTCTTGCTGCTATTAAAGTACACACACACACACACACAGATATATATATGCATATCTAAATGTATGACTTACCTGCCAAGGCCATTGTCCGAAGTAAGAATTACGACCACCAACGATTCTACCATAAGGCCTTAGAGACCGAACTCCACAGTCTGAGGGTAAGACAAAGTCACAATTTAGATATAAATTAACAACTGTAAGATAAAATAATTTATTAGCTAGCCACTCTTCCTATAATATTGGAAAGAAAATATCGCCATTTCTCTATAATTTTGTGTTCGTAAGTTATTAATTAAAACTCTTTCAGCACGTCTCAGTCCCTGGGACCGACCTCGTAACCATTTTGAGCTTGTTATAGTTTTCATGCTATAACTTTTAAATTAGTAAGCGTATGTTAACGAAATTTGCCAGATTATGAGTTAACATTACAATGCTTTCAAACACATAATATAAATTTTTTAATTAATTCTTAAGGTTTGTTAAGAAATGTTTTTCTCATACGTTTTTTTTTCACATGTTACCTATCCAACATGTAAAGTAATTTTTATTTCAAGATTAAAAATATTTTTATGCATCAGAAAATTTTCAAATTTCACATGCGAAATCTATATAATGTCCAGGTAGTTATTAAATGTTTCATAAAGAAAAACTTTATATTTTATCTGTTATCTTCACTATTAATTCTCTATGGGGTTCAATAGATTTGACCGATCTCGTAACCAACATAAGAAAATAGGAAATAAAATATATAGTTGACCTTTAGTCTTTACAAAGTGACCCCGTCTTGGACGTGTTTTAGTAGACTAGTATTTAGTAAAATACAGTGACGTTTCAATTATTATACATTATATATGTATACAGATTATTAATATTTAGAAATAAGTTATTAAACTTAATTTTCTTAAAACGTAGAAGCAAACAATTATCTCTTCTAGTTTCGACCTTTGTACTCAGTTTCTGCTTGACGTAGTTGCTAAGTCTTTTAAAATTTCGCACATGGAGGATATCAAATAAATAATTTTTTTAGGTTTTATGTATATAATTGAATAACCAAAAAATTATAAATTACTATATCGATATCACAAAATTCCACTATAATTTATCAAGCTTAATAAGTAAGCTGTATTTTGGCCAAGTGGTTAAGATGCTCGACTCCAAATCTGAGGGTCGCGGGTTCGAATCCCCGTCCCACCAAACACGTTCGCCCTTTCAGCCGTGGGGGCATTATAATGTGATGGTCAATCCCGCTATTCGTTGGTAAAAGAGTATCCCAAGAGTGGGCGGTGGGTGGTGATGATAAGCTTCCTTACCTCTAGTATTACAATGTTAAATTAGGAACGACTAGTGCAGATAATCCTCGTGTAGCTTTGCGCGAAATTCCAAACAAAGCTGTATTTTGATCTAAAAATAAATATGAATGATATGTTGAATGCAGCACTGATTCAAATTGGATATTTGTGATTTTTGGAAACGGTCCCTTATATACAATTTCTTCAATATATGACATGTGAATAACCAATTGACAGCTCAGAATGTCCCTCTAGTGGTTTTCTCAGCCATTTGAAAATGTTGGGAACCCCTCTCATTCTTTCTAAACCAAGATTTCAAGCAGGTAGGTTGTGTATTTAGTCTGCATCAAATTTCATATTTTTTAGACCGAAATACAGCTTTGTTTGGAACTTCGTGCAAAGCTACACGAGGGCTATCCGCACTAGCCATTCCTAATTTAACATTACAACAATAGAGGTAAGGAAACTTGTCATCACCAACCACTGACGACTCTTGGGATTGACCATCATATTATAACATCCCCACGGCTGAAAGGGTGAGCATGTTTGTTGGACGGGGATTCGAATCCGCGACCCTCAGATTGGGAGTCGAGCATCCTAATCACTTGGCCAAAATTCATCTTACTTACTAAATTTGATAAATTACAGGGGAATTCTATGATATCGATATAGTAATTTATGATTTTTTTGGTTATTTAACTGTATATATAAAACCTGAAAAAAATATTTCGTTTCATATCCTCCACGTGCGAAATTGTAAAAGTCTTAACAGCCTACGTCAAGCATCAACTGAGTACAAAGGTTGTAACTAGAAGAGATAATTGTATGCTTCTTTGTTTTACAAAAAATATGTTTAATAACTTATTTCTAAATAATAATAATCTATATACATATATAATGTATAATAATTAAAATGTTACTGTATTTTACTAAATATTAGTCTACTAAAACACGACCAAGACAGTGTCACTTTGTAAAGACTAAAGGTTAATTTTATATTATTGGATACGGTAACATGAATGCATGTGCCTCGCGTTATTACAACTTCTGTAATGTTAGCCAGGAACGGCTGAAAGGTCAATATAATAAAAATAAAAAATGTATAATGTTATGAGATTTAAGCTATTTAATCTAAACATTTATGTTTCATGTTATAATTTGTAGTCATTCTGGAATGAAAGAAGCATAATTTATATTTAATTTCTAATTTTTATGTTGGTTACGAGATCGGTCAAATCTATCGAACACGTGGAGATCCATTAGTGAAAATAAAGGATAGAATATAAAGTGTTTCCTTAAGAAACATTTGATAACTGTCTGGACATTATAAAGATTTTGCATGTGAAATTTGAAAAATTTCTGATGCATTAAAATATTTTTAATCTTAAAATGAAAATCACTTTGCATGTTGGATAGATAACAAGTGAAAAGAAAAGGTATAAGAAATTTTGCTTAACAAACCTTAAGCATTAATATTTTGCGTATGAAAGCATTGTAATGTTAACTGATAACCTGCCAAATTTCGTTAACATACACTTATTAATTTAAAAGTTATAGCATGAAAACTATAACAAGCATGCTTGTTATAGTTTTCATGCTATAACTTTTAAATTAATAAGTGTATGTTACACAATGGTTATGAGGTCGATCTAACGGACTGAGCCCATGCTGAAAGTGTTAATATCACTTGAGTGTTCTTTTCCCATTTCATATTTCGTCACTTTTTACCTACTAGACTCGAAGCTTCCAAGTAACAGGCACGACTACCTATTTCTTAGTAGACATATGGTCCAAAATCTATCATTGCAGTATCTGCATTATAATGTGTAGTTAGTATGGCTGTAACCCTTTCATAACTCATAAAACGGATATATATTTATCTAAGTTTATTCAATTAATTTTTACCAACATTTCAGTACAGATTGTTCGTACTTGGTCAAACATTATACTCAAACAGGATGTAACAAGCTTTGAATTACGCTAATCTCACTTTTAGGCTGTCACACATGGTCAGGGCTAGCGCATATATGTCTGCTTCTGAATGTGACCAGTAGTCTAGATAAGTCATTAATTCATTTGTCATGAAATTTGACATACCGAACATATGCAGAAATAGACACGTAAGACAGATTACCTTCCCTCTCTTTGATAATGAGTCTAGTCTCCTGACACGTGTTGAGAAGTCTTCTGAGAAGTATTAGAAGAGCTTAAACTTAAACATAGTTCTAAGCAGAACTAATACTTCATATTAGAATCGCCATCATCTAGAGCAGTCATATTTTGCCATTTGCTGTCTAAAACTAAGTGAAATAAAATCTGACTTACGTTTTCTGTAATCCCATTTATGTTTAGTTCCTGTAACAGGGGCTAAAGTTGTTGGAGTGATAGATGTCGTCGTTGCCCTGACTGTCGTAGATATTCCAGTATTTACGTTCGTACTTGCAGGACTGATTATCGCTGTTGTTTTTAATAGTGTCGTACTACTCGTCTCGACAAACGAGGTTCCAAGACTATTATTATTTGCTACTTTATGGATTACCGTAATTAATGAATTGCTAGGTACCGAAATTGCAGTGCTATTAGTAACAGTGTTTACAGTTGGACCAGTACTTGTGCTGCCATCTATGTTCACAATTGATTTTGTTGTCATAAATAAAGATGGTTCAAATGTGTCAAAAGCAGGACCTATCGATGGTAGATATTCATTAGCTGTCAACACCTGAAAATTATCATATTCAGAATCAGAAGGTGATGTTACATTCTGAAGATGGTTGTTAAAATTCGTTGTGAATGAACTAACTACCATACTGTGCGTTGTAGGTTTTTTGTCAGGAATTAATGATTCAGAATCAGGTGTTGGAGTAATAAAAATGGCATTTGAATTGGAAAACATACTTTCTAAGTTAACTGTTGATGTAGGATCTTTTTCAGTGATTACTGATTCAGTTACTGTCGTTACTGGGTTATTGGAATCTGAAAAGACTTTATCTGGTTGTTGTTCTGGAGTCATTGATAGGTCCAGTGATGTTTGCTCACTGTCTGACCCAGATATACTTGTATCTATTAGATGAGTTTCATCTTCAGAATTTGGTTTTGTGCTGGCGTCGGTTAAGTGTTCAGTTGGCTCTAGCTGGGTGACAATATGTTGAATATATGCAGCTGGAAATTTATTGGAATCAAGATGTGATGTCGGTAACTGGATGCTTGTGACCTTTTCATCGGGAGGTTTTGTCGTTGTCTGTGGTGGTCTGGATGAAACTTTAGGGTACTTCGTTGAAATAGTAATATTTTTGACGTCACTAGAAATACTGGAGTCAAGAGTTTCCTGAATATCATAATTGGTAGTGACATATAAATTATCTTCGACGTAGTTAGTGGTACTGTTATCGGTAGTCGTTTTGCCATCATTTTGTCCTGTTCCTGTGCTACTTTCATCTTCTATGAAGGTCGAGGAGATAGCGGTTGAAGCAAATGTATCTCCAACAGTACTACCAGTTTTACCAATATCTACAACTATAGTAGAATCAGGTGTATTGTTATTTACCGCGAACGAAGCATTGTTGTGGAATATTACATCAGTCAACTGCTGAACCACGGAAGAGTTTAGATGTACAGGATTGGTGGATGGAGATGTTGTAGTGGAAGTAAGTTCTGAAGGACCACTTACAGCATTCATAGAAGTTGGAGTTAGTGCTGCTTCTATGGATGAGCTTTTTGTTAGCTGAAGGGATGGGGATGTTGATTTTACTTTCACATTGTTTGCGAGACTAGAAGAAATACTAACGGAATTCTCTTCTTTGAAATTCGTCCATGTTACGAGAGAGAATGTTGTTGATTCCAGGTTAAGTGGAACACTCTTTTGATTTAATACTGACACTGAAACATCTGTTGAGTTTTTTGCTGGTACTTCTTGTGCTGTACTATAGTGCTGGTTGTCAAAGGTTATGCCATCTTCTACGGAAGTAGGCGTTATGTCAGAAGGAGGAAATTTACAACAACTTAAGTATAAAAATCCATTGGTGCAAGTAGAGAGCAACACACCATTTTCATTGATACAGTCCCACTTGAACATACATACACCCGCCTCGCCAGTAGCATCTTCACAGGGTTTCCTGCTAAGGTTCAAAGTCTTCCCTAAGAAACAGAAATATATTTCAAACATATAGTTACAAAATTCGCAAGTTTATAATATCTAGTTGTCGGTAAATTAATCAAAATAATTATATATTTTAAAGTTATACTTCAACTAACATTCCACAAAACATGAGGATTCAGGGAACAAAAGTCTTGTTTTTTGTGGATCTCCTATAGTCGCTGCCTATAAAAGTGAGTTAAATTATATATATGTATATTACATACATTGCTAAATAAGTATCGTGTGTAAATGTACATTTTTAGAAACTATTAAACTTAGAACGTAAGTTCAGTAAATAGTTTTATTTCTTATGTAATATATATATATAGTATTAAATTTTGAAGTAGCCTTATTCGCAAAAAACAATTTTAGTCTTTGAAAAGGCTTTGTAAAAATGAATAGAAGTAGTATAACGTTATCTGACAAATCAAATTGTCTTAGCAAGGTAAACACTATTTTAAGCAATGCAAACAAGCTGCGGGTGCTACTAACAGTCTAAAATGTCCAGTATTAAACTTGAATGAGTATTTGCACATATATAGTGACATTGTGATAGATCCCTTATGACATTTTATATCCTTATTACACAACGATTCCCAAGATGGCGGCCACTAAACTCTGCAGCCCTATATTTAGTCAAAGTGTATCATATATTTTAATTGCCTGTAAAACAGTTAAAGAAAATTTTATATATATTTATTAACAAATCCGATAACATACATAAACGCGTGTCTCCAACAATGGTTCAATTCACATCACCGTATTTTGTATATCGTATGAAATGACAAAATAGGCATGAAACGTGTTGCCTAAAACAAATCTTGGATTGATTTAATGAATCTACATTAGTGTCATTTAGTCATGTGTATCACGACATCAATGATATCTGCTCTGTTTGATCCCTAGTAGATCATTTGTAATGCTTGTGTTTCTGAGAGGCATTCTTTGGTATGTCATTTAGTCATGTGTATCACGACATCAATGATATCTGCTCTGTTTGATCCCTAGTAGATCATTGTAATGCTTGTGTTTCTGAGAGGCATTCTTTGGTATGTGATTTCCCGTAACTTTATTCACGTAAGCCTCGTTATTTATGTATGTATATGTTTGGCCCCTTTGAAGTTTTCAGAGACCCTCAATTTGAAATTGGATATAGCAGATGTAGTGTGATTGAAATATTGTTATACAATCTACTTTGTACTCACTCAGAATTTCTTATTAATAATTCCACAAATTATTAGCGTCTTTTAATACACAACTTTCGCTGCACGCACACCGATTCCATTCTCCAACACCTTGAAAAAAGTAGTATTTTGTCCTTATTCTGTTAGTGTAGCTAATTTAGTAATAATTTAATGAATATTTGTTATTATGCTAAAATTTTTGTAATACAATAACTCCATTTGAATGATGAATAATCCGAGTCAGTTTTGTGCAATAATCAATTACTTTTGTCATTTCGTTAAGTTAGAGCGTTTTATAGCTATTTAATTTGCATACCTCCAAAATGACTAGGTTATGTGTTCCTGAAAGTAGTTCCTATTTCTGACAGAATGTGTGCGTAAGGTATGATCCTCGAATAAAACTACGTAATACGCATATTATTTTCATTTTTCATCAACACTGTTTTGAATATGTAAAAAAAAAAAAAAAACTTTCGTTTACAACAACCTTACACCATGTAATAAGCATGAATACGTTTATTCAGACTTTTCTGTTGTATTACTATTTATGGCTTTAATTCTAACTTTATTAAGACATAAATCAGTATGAATTGTTCGTTGAGAAAGATGACATTCCAACTTAAATTTCCTCCTTGATTTTTGATTTTTTGTATATGCTGAAAAGTAACAGATAAGTAAATTAACCTAGAACTCTTTTTTTTGTTGTTGTTGTTGTTGTTTCAGAAGATAACAAAAGAAACTTTCTAGAAATGTTTTAATCTCCAGAAACGAACTTCAAAGCCAGTTTATCCGATTATTACCACCACCTAAAATATATATATATAAATTAAAGGTGTGGTGATACAGCGATACGATACGAGTATCGTATCGTGAAGCCGTGATACGATTGTATCGATACATCGTCCGATACGATTTATATATCTTTACGAAATCTGGCAAGCTTTCAGTAAACATTGTAAGTCTTTTGAATAGAAAAAATCAGAATTTCTAATAAAGAAATTTTCCTAAAATTAATGATTCAATAAAGGAAGATGAGTATTGAGTACTACATGTTGTCTTCATTTCTTTTATCAAAAACGTTACATGCAAAGTAACAAATTAGCAATAACAAAATAGATAGACAGATATTAACTTTTTATTTTACTTTTCTTGCCAACTGCCATTCAGTTGCTTAAACCCGATAAATTGAAAAAGCACTGTAAAGTGTGAAGTGCTTAAATAGAACAATATTAGTAATATAGATAATAAATTACAGACAAGACTGTCAAACTTTGTAACAAACCGTTGGTAAAACTTCTGTATCTAGATACGTATCATATCGTAGCATCAATATCTAATTACGTATCGTATCGACTACTATGATGGGATACGCACCTCTAATTTATATATATATATATATATATATATATATA